GACTGTAACGAGCTATTTTAATCCCCTGTTCCTTTCCCTCGGCTTTTGCCCCCGAGGGGCCGCGGGCGGCCAGGACCCCAGCTGCGTGGCGCCCCGCGGCGCTAGCACCGACCTGCCTTCCCCGATTTTTTCCCCTTCTAGGGTTGGCCGTGAGGAGGGGTGGCTGGCGCTGGTTGTCATTTTGGTGCGTTTCCTTGAAACGTGGCACTGTGTAAATGATTGAAGGACGAGGTATTGATTTACAGCTACCGCCTGCAGCCGGAGATACGAGGCCACTGAAAGGGCTTTCGCTGCACCTGATGGCGCGCTCCTCAAAAGCAGATCAAAATGTGATTAAAAAAAAAAAAAATTAGGAAGGGAAAGGGAAGGCTAGCTTGCCAGAGAGGTGGGCAATCTCTTTGAACCCCATCTCCATCCTTATATTCAGGCAAATATATTCCAAGGCTCCTAGAGAAGCTGCTGCATTCATTTGCAGAATTCTGCTTTCATTATTCAGGATTTTTTTAATACCTGTTTTAAATCTGGAAACTTTGCTGGCTATGAGTCTAGTGACCGCATATGGTACCGAGAGAGGTTTTGCCTTTAGCGCAACTGATTTAAGGGTCTCTTCTGAGCAACCTGAAGGGGCTCTGAGGCAGCCCATTCCCACCCAATATTTTCCCCCTCCTACATGCAATCTGGATGTCCAGAAGGTTGTTTCCAAAAGTCCTGCTCTATCATCAGTCAGTTCATTGGCATGGAGGTTCCCAGGGTCTCTCTCAGTTATTTTGTTTTGCCATTAAGAATCTTTTTAGCTGGTATGAGTGATAATAAAAGCAACACTGGCACTTTTATAAACAGAATGACATTTAAAAAGCCAAATTCATCATCCAAACTACTTGCAATAAACTTGATTTCTTCCTAGAATTAAAACACAGGATGCTCTGCAGGCAGGCAGATAAAGATGGGATTTTTAAAGCGGTCCACTATGGTTGGCTGTAGAGGTAATAATGAAGTAATTTCTAACACTAATGCCACAGTTAGTTAGATACAATTTTCACTTTGTGAAATATCTATTATTTTCCTATTTTATTAGGAAATATATTATTTGCCTATGTTATTAGGAAATGCACAGCAAATATCTAGAGGGAGATCTGCTTCCTGTCCTGAGGAGATCCCAAGAAAGACCATTACAAATCAGTGACAAAGCAGAGGGAATAAACCCAATCACATTATTGCTTTGTGACACTGGCTGCAGCAGGTTGACGTTGCTTATCTTTTCTCTAAACTCCTTCTGAATAAAATCAGATCCTTTTCACAAACATCACAATTAATTGTTTTCACTACAAGGTGACACAAATTCTAGGGCAGGGTCAAATTACTGTATTGTGATATTTAATATAGCTCAGTGGTTCCCAAACTTTCTGGACCAACCACCAAGATTCCTCCAACCAAACTTTTTTAATATTAAACTGCAAGAGCTACAGTTCTGCAGACCACATATCATGGCTTTTCCTCAGGACCATGTTTTGGGAACTATTCGCATTAACTCTACAGCATGGAAAAATCTTTGTTTCCAATTCCTTATTTGAATAAAGGACAATATTCGCCCACTGCATGGCGTATTTATCTCATGAGTGTTGTAAAGATTCATTTCCAGCACTTTGGAAACTGAGGTGCTATGTGCACATATGAAATACTTGATTACTACCATTGTTTGTTACACAGGACAGATTCTGACAATATTTTTAATGATAGAGCTTACTATGTAGTACAATGCAAAAGGTGAGTTAAGGTTCATGGATAACTGTGCTACATCCTCTGAGGGTTCATAACCTCAGAATGAGAACTGTAAAAAAACAGAACAAGGGAGTACAAAGAGAGCAAGTACAGAGCAAGCGTAATCTTTCTTTACAGATATTGTGTGCTGTGGAACACAGCAGGTATTGATTTCCCACCACTATTTTGAACAGCACGATTTATACTATTTTTTGAAACATTACTTAGATTATAGATCATTTGGAGCAGCAAACATCCTTGAGCTGTACCTGAGAGTGCCAATGAGCCCAGCTGGGTGCTGTCTCCTTGTATGGCTCCCTGTGGACCACTGCAAGTCAAACATATCAAATTAGGATAATCATAATAGAATATAGCAAAAATAGCAAATACTGTAAAATTCTTTCTATAAGGCAACTTTACTGGAACCCATTTTCTAAATCCACTGTTTAGAGCTAAAGGGCATGAAATATCAATCTCTTTCCTTTAATTTGAAGATTTCAAAGGAAAAGTTATTGCAGTGACTCAAAGGCTGTAAATATCCCAGCATGAACTTTCCTAGAGAGGTTAAAACATGTAAGGGAGGCTTCATTCCAGAAGGTAACATGTTATTTCTCTCTCCCAGATGGGACGCAGGGAAGGATGGCTAATTGCTGTCTTAGAAGCTGTAATCACAGTGAGACTGGGATGTAAAGATTTACCTTGTTCTTAACTTTTCACAACAATCAGCTAATCACTTAGGGTCAGGATTGACTAACTTTTGCATATGGGTGCAGGAGAAGGCAAATAGAGAAAAAATTTTGTCCTTGCATTTATAGCCACAGTGGCTGACTGCAGCTGAATCTTTGGTATCCCGAAGGTTTGAACACTGCTGGCCCAGGCACAAAAACCCATGCCATACCCCAGCCTTTTTTGCACTGACGGCCTTAGCAATGTCATTTCTCAGTCCCCGAGTGGTACGGATCCTATGCAAGCTCCTATTTCTACGTAGGGCCATGTCTTGAGGGAGGACACTAGCTCTTCATCAAAGGATTCCATATTTAGATACAGTTATTTTGCTGAAGCCAGTACAAATAAGGCTCTAACTATTAAGTCATATTACTAATGTACCTGGAAATCTTCATTTTAACTTGCCATTCTAAATCCTTGTATGGCTGTCTACGTCGCCCTATCTGGGAAACTGCTGAGCAACCAACAGCTCACAGGGAATGAATGACATGATCTGTAACCTTCCAGCTGCAATGCCGTGGGGAAAGTGCACAAGGACAAACTGTACTCTTCCACTTTGGGTCAATATTTAGACAAGCTCAGAAAGATGGTCTTCTTCATGGTGTTGGAAATGACAAGCTTCATATTTGGTGTCGGGAGACAGGGTCAAGAGAGGTAATGGCACTTTAGTCTTGGTGGTGTTTCCCTATTCCAAAAGTCAGATGACTGATACTATTTACAGGCCAATTTACAGGTCAGCAATGCCATAGTAATGCGAGCTTTAGATACACGGAGAAGTGAGACATGGGTGAGTTTTCCTTTTTCTATCAATAAACACTGAATATCCTTGAATTAAATGTTTCCTCATACTGTGCAGCAGTGTCAGGAAGAAGCTATGCTGCTGGCCAACCTTAAACATCAAAGTAAAGGTATCTTACCTTAATTGGCAGGTAAAACAGATGGCAGGTGACAAGATGCTGCCTCCTTTGAAGATAACGAAGAAAATCATAGCTCTTCATGTTAAGCTAATGCCTTCCACTTTACCTCCTCATGACTGGTTGAGATGACAAAAAGGAGGGAGAGGAGTCTTCTGCTCTGACAACTAAATCTGAACCATCTCCCTCCTCCTGCCTCTGGAATATATGGAAGATGTTGCCAAAGCACATTCAGTGCTGGAACTACATGGAAGCAAATTCAGCTTTCCTGCCTTGGGCTTCAGGTTGCTGTAAAGGAATTTTTTTCCCCTAGGATGAGAAACACTGTGTACTTTTATGTATTATGACAGCAGGCTATTCTGTACATACTTACAAACACAGATCTTAATTGAGAGACAATTTTGATCAATTAAACCGAGAGCAAGTCTTTAAAAATAACTAAACAAGGCTAATTCCTCTATATGCAATTTTCAGAAGAATTAACTATGGATAGTGGGTTATTAACATCATTGGCATGATTAGTCCTTGATTACAAGTCAATTAACTAGTGATACAAAGCAAGTTAGCCATGGAAAACCTGTGCCCCTTATTTATGTTGAATTTAATTTATCTCACCTCCAAAAAATGCCATCAAAATTCTTTCTACTGTTTGGGTATTCAATTTCAGCTCTTTGCAAGACTGTTATGACTAGCAGGTAAATACTGCAGCTCCCAAGCAGGCTCACACACATCTGAACTATCATAACCCCCAAGGTGGACACGTTTCAAAGATCAGTAGAAGTTATCTTCAAAGGATAGACAAGGAAGAGCACTGTCTTGAGGCACAGAGCAGCACTTTGCTCGAGGAGCATTCTGCTGCTCAAGACTGCTTTGTAAAATAACCCTTTATTTTTTAAATTCTGGTTATAATCTAGAGAATAACTCAAAATGAAAGTCTCAGATTTGTCCTTTCAAGCATAATCTGTTCCATATCATGATACACTTTCACTGCAGAATAATTAGTATAAATTATTGAACAGAAAATTTGGTTGAACATTGTAACGTTTGCCAGTTGCGTGTGTGCCCCACTAAGGATCTAATTCTGTTCTTGTGAACTCAGGGTAAAAACCTGAATTATTACCAGTTCAAATGGATTGTCTTATATTGTGTACTTATACGGTACGTATCTTCACAAGAACTAGGCCAACCTATGAAGAAATACTCTGGTACCTCGTTATGCTGAGTTCAACAGGAGAGAGGTAGCTATGTCTGTTTTAAAAATGGATCCTGCAGGCAACATATGGAGTACTTCTGAAAATGTTCTTTGATTTTCACTCTGCACAGACCCCTCAGATCCCACACGTGTGCTCCCCACATACGAATGCATTGCACAAGCTCTGGTGGAGAGGTCAGATCACAAATCTATGTAGATAATTTACATACACAGTCTCTGCGGTGCGGCTAAATCGGCATCAGAGCAGGTGAGCTGAAATGAGTAACATAAGTAATCACAATTGTATCAGACAATGCTGGGAAATTTAAATCAATGTTTTCTAGACTGAAACGTATATATTTATTTTGCTTTTTTAATGAATTCCTAATGCTTGTTTATTTTAAGTGCTGGCTGGGTCCTTGAGACTGAAGTATTCTTTGCAAGTCTAGAATGAGAGCAGAAGCACAAAGCCAAAATCTTGCCAATGCCCAGTAGTTTATTTGATTTATAGGAGCTATGTGGCATTTACAGCACAAGTAAGAAGACAAGGCTTGCTCCATGGTCACCTAAAGCTGCCATTGACTTGCAGTAGAGCTATATGATCAGACCAAAGGTTGTTGTATAAAAGTTATAGCATAACTTGTACTGAAACAAGCAAGAGATTAATGTTTCAAACACAGAAGGAAAAGACATAGCTGATTAAGAGACTGTAATGACCATTTAATTATGATTCTTGCCAATCTGAGATGTCCTAAAATAGCATCTTCAGTGATATTTAACTTCTGCTCACTTACTGGATTAACACAACTAAGAATGGAGGAAAAGGGGAAATAAAATAAGGTTTAGTGGTTCTTTTTAGCAATTAACACTGTACAATGGCTTGTTTTGTTTGGTAATCTCAGCCTACCTGAACGTGAGCATGTGTGGCTGCCACTTTTATATAACTGGTTTGGTGTGCAGTTTCAGTGAAATGCCTCTTACAGTTTCTTAGACAAAGCTGAACCCTGGGGAATTGCATATGACTTCTATACCTGATGGCAGTCCTCTGGGGAATCTTTTACAATTAGATACATTTTGAAATGAACTCAAGCAAAGAAATAAAGCAATTTGCTGATATTCTGCGATGCCTTTCTTGAAATAAATGGAACAGATGCCACCTTAGGGTCTGACTTTTATTAATTGCTTTATAAAGCATGCTTTTCTTTTAAAATTACACTCTCTGCGCTGGCCTGCTGACCCTGGGAATTTAAACCTTATTATTCCAGTTTAAACACTTGCCAGTGCTTAGACAGTTAACAAAGCTAAAGCCTCTCCCAGCTGAACACCAGATTCCCTGAGGAATCCAATCAGGCTACTTTATTCTGGTCTTTTGAAAGTCAGGTCAAATAGCTGTTTGAATTGCAATGATCTCCATGTGAATTCTGGTTTTGATAGCAATTGCTGATATCCTCTTAGCTTCCAGACAGACATATTAATTGCATTTCCTCTGCCATATGCAGTGCAACGCTGCTGCTGCGGTTTCTGGGAATTTTAAACTCACACCCGATCTTTTAATTGGGCAAACAAAACAAACATGATATCCATGAGCTATGCTAGTTCTGTGGAACTGATAACTAGTCTCCCATTGCACTTATCAGAAAAGTGGGAAGTTGTGACTAGACAGGTGATTAAAAGGTACTGTCTATATCCAGAAAACTGCAGTTGGGAAAGACCCTGCAAGAGCTCTGGAGACATTTCAGCTGCAGTTTCCATAGGTATGGTGTAAAGAGCAGTGGCACAGAAGGATCTTAATATGATTATAGCAATCCTAGAGGTCCTCTTAACACACTGTAAGGGTGAGAAAGCACCATCCTTCCCTTTCAGACAGCCAGTCGAGTCATGGAGGATGAGTGGCAGGGGGGCATTCAGCCTCTGACACTGTTTAGACTTACTAGGTCAAACTTACAGCCTTGAAAAAACAGCAGTAATTTATTTAAGTCACTATGGTTATGCCTTCTCCCAGCAAGGTCAAATTGTGTCCACTTTTTCAAAATTGTATAGCTGTTTCTTACAGTATTTGCTTTAGCAGCTGTCACCATAGTACTGTTCTGCTAGATATGAGTCTAATCTTCTCCAGACAATGACAATGGATACATTTCTTTACTCAAGAAATTCTATAAATTAGCTGTAACTCCAGAAAAGCTTTTTAAGGGGTAAGAATAGATATACTTTTCACTTTTTGTCTGTTCAATGAGTTTCTAGACCACTTAAATCATTTCGGAAATAACTATTCTGTTATAGCTTCAAGAGTATTTTTATTAGGCCTGTTTGGCTGGCTTCTAACCTAGCTCCTTAAGAACAATGGTAATACATATCTGCTTTAAATTAAGTAGTTGCTTATATGCTTTACTGAACCATGTCCTAAATAAGATTGACCATGGTTAGAAATTGTCTATTGGAGGAAAAGGGCAGGTGTGGAGTTCTCAGGTAAATTTTGTACAAGTACAGAGCAGTGAGCTGAGGACAGCTGTTCATCCCACCAAGGACACCCCCCGCTAGAAACCGGCACTTACAAGAGTAAGGTATTGATCCTGACTGTACGAGGGACTTTCACTGCTACTGCGATGTTTGCTGTATTCATCTGCTTGCAAGGAAGGATGACAGAACATACAACAGTTACTTTAAACTGCTGTGCCCTGTAAAACCAAAGATTTGAAAGGCATGAACTTCACTGGTAACAGGATGTCTCCTTTGAGGAGCAGTAGTATCGTTTTCCTTGATGTTCCAGAGAAAAATTCCAGACAAGGTTGTAGAGACTTACACTGAGCCTACCGAGAGTGTTGATAGTAAATATATTTAGGAATGTATATGCTGAACGTTTTCCTAACTCTTGGTGCTACAATACCTTACTTGGAGTTACAATACCTTACTTACTTGGAGTGAATTCGATGTAATTCCAGAAATGTGGAGATGGAGGGCAAAATATATTGTAGTGCTTTGCTGTTTCATTTACAGGACCTCACAAATGTATAATGTGCTGAAGGCCCATGAGCGCAAAAGTCCCATGCAAAAGCTTACCTTGAAAGGCTGGCTAAGACACAATTAGTGTCTGTTAAATGTCATTTGTGCCGCCAGGATAGAGCAGCACTGGAACTGGAAGGCTCCAAGTGCTGCAGTCACACCTCCGAGTGCAGTGCGGACATGTCCTACATGTCCTACAATGGTCAGGAGGCACTGCCTGATGCCTGGCCACCCCTTCAGCTGGAGCCTGCACCCACTACCGCTGGCACCTCCCATTTCAGCCCGGACCCTGGCCAGGCAGACCTTGCAGTTCAGAAAACTTAGAGGTCCCTGTTTCACTATAACCCATAATCTAAATATAGACAGGATCATAATCTCAGATTTTTTCTTCTGAGACGCCTGCATACTCTTTATGTCTCCATTTCAACCTACCATAGGTCCATAGCTCAGGATTCAAGGGTAGGAGTGCAATGCATCCTGCCAGCCATCTGTGGTACAAGCTGTGCATTAACTCTGTGGGGGTTTTACACAAGTAAACTGCCACTGTGGAAGGGAAAAAAAAAAAAGAGAGAGAGAGAGAGAGAGAAAAGAGAAATAAATAGTCCTTTGTCTTTAACAGTGTATAAATGAATTTTATCTACCGAGTTAGCCATTTTGGGAGCAGCAGAATACTCTAGACATTCATTTTCTTAGTCGTGGAGTTCTGCCCTGAAGATTTTGTTCAAATTAAAGCAACTTCTTACCCAACTGTCTGTGCTGAATAATAGTGGCAGATGGAGAGAGGAAAATCTGGATTTTTTTTTGCTTCCAAGGAACCACAAAAGCTAATGAGATAATGTTAATTGTTCTGAGGCTGTAGTTGAAAGAGGTCCCTACACAGCAAGTGCATTACTTCCTCTTTCTCTTGAGGGAGCAGAAAACAGAATATGAAAGAAATGCAGCTGAGTCATTATGTCAGGAGAAGATCAAATCAGATATTCTTGTGCAAAATTATACATTGGTTTGGAGGTAAGGGATAATTTTACTTTTATTTGTTCTTGTTAGAAAGCTAATGTCACTATAAGTGGTGCCTGAGTTAATGGCTCTCACTCCAAAGCAAAAAAGTTTTTCCAGATGAGATGATTAATACATTTAAGATCTTTTAAAATATGATTAAGACATCTTCTTAGAGCATCAGTAGCATGATACCCAATTCTCTGCCCACTTTTTGCTTGGAGCAATTAATCTTTGAGGTGCAGTATTCTAGCCAAACACAGCCGCAAATGTTATTTCACTGATAAAAATCTTCATTTCAATAACCATTCTGCTGTCTCTGGGTTTTAGTGGTTTTTACTAGGGGCCTGTAAGAAGCAGGCCTTTACCTTCTCTAAGGATCAGACAAAATTTGTGACAACTCTGTTTGGTATGGTGAATAATTGAGACTGGCGGGTATGCTTAAAGTAAGATTTTCTTCTAGATTCCATCGTTTTCTGACCTCTTCGGGGGCAGGGTGCTTTATAATGGATGAAGCTTTTACCATTAATAAGCATTTTCTCTGTTGTTTCCTAAAGAGCCATTCATTAGATTAACAAAACAACAGTTAGGAGCTAATAAAGGTCCTCTCAGCTCGACTTGAGAGAAGGACATGTTAATGCCTCTAGGCAAAATGTCATTTAAACCATAATGTCAGAGCTGGTCACAAAGACTTTGACCCGTAATTGTGTCCAGAGAGTTCAAAAGCGTGAGAGTTTCCTAGGGAGAAGAGAGGAGCAGATTTGCTGAAGCATTCAGTGCCTGCAATTAGGATTTTCAAAAGAGCTGGTAGGCACCCACCAGCACCCCATTGCTCTCAGTGGGAGCAGAGCACTTGCGGAAAGTGGCCCTCCAGCTGCTTTTGGGAATAGCCATTGAAGGTGAATTTTGGAGACCTACAGCTAGACTGCCGTTCTCACATGTGCCCGCAGTGGCCCCTGGGAGCTCCCCACGGGATCTGGGCAAACAAGATTAAGGATGAGAAAGAGTAGATCCTTCCTCTGTGTGTGTAACCACAAAGCATAATGGCCCAGTATGTTTCAATTTCCTGAATGTTAAAGGTTATATGGCATTTCTTATCATCTGGGGATTTAAACCCTGAGGGTTAAGGCCAGCAGTTCCCATGAAATAAGCACAGAATGGAATTTGCATCCAAAATTCAAACCAAATTGAACATTAGTAATATTTTAGCATACATTAGGCTAATGAGCCTGAAGTCCTCCAACATATAAAATAAATTTCATCATGAAAATGCATCCATTTCCAGGGTAAAATATGACACTACAGCAATGCTGTATCCAATTTTAGGAAAAACAGCCTTGAACACAGGGAAAAGAAAGGTTAAGAGAAACTGGTTCTCAATTATAGTTTAGCCTGAGTGCTTCCACTTGTACTGTAGGTATCACGCAAAGTGACTAGAAATAAATAACACTTTCATGTTACATTTTGCGAAAAATGTGAAAAGCTGTCTTCACTAGCTCCATGCACAGATAACGGTCCAAACTAAGCTTAAATGAGACACCTACTTCTTGCAGTAAGAAACCTAATCATCATAAAGTCTCCCAAACACCTCTGTATTTTGCCACTGTCCCTTATACATGCTGCTTATTTTTCTAAGGCTCTATCCCTGTATCCATATCTTAAAATGACAATTGGTACAGACACATTAGACTTCGCCTCTCCTGTTTATATTTTCTTTACCCTGCTAGTTGGGCTCGTGCTTCTCCTGTTGAAGTGAATTGTTAAAACTTCTTCTTATGTAATTTGCAGCATGGAAGAAAGATCTGTTTGCTGGTTTCTTCCATCATACTGCTTGCTCTCTCTGAGCTTGCCCTGGATAAATCTGGTCAGCCCATGGCAGCCAGCTCTGGATGAGACATGATCTTTGTGTGCTTTTTGGGTGGCATGCAGGGCTGGAGCAATTACACTTCAGCCCAATGGCACTCTACTAAAGGAAGAGGCATCACAAATACAAATCCTAGTTCATGTGCTTTCCTTTCCCTAAGCTTTGCAAGGTGTGCCCTGGATAATTTCCTCATTCTCTCTTAGACTGACAGATATTACACAAAGACCACAGGCGATCACCTTCTAATATGCTTTAAAGATTTCAGTCAATCTAGTGTCTGTTCTTTATTCCTACTTTTGTTAGAGTTGTGTCTCAGTAGCTACAGTTGGGTATTTAGAATTATGCTCTACAACTTACCAGCCTACTAAGAACATAGATGTGTGTATTAATATGAAAAAGTTACAGACATTTCTGAGTGCAGGGTATTACAAAATTGCAGAAAGAGTCAGTTCAAGGATTTGCATTTAACCAGATGCTCTCTAGTTTGTAAAAAACTTTTTGTGTTGCTGTGAATCTTGAGGAAACGACTTGTTCAGTCTTGGTGACGATGTGCACTGAAAAGCAAAGCCATAAATACAAAGAAGTCTCATATTTTCCAAGTCTGGCGTTGGAAGTAGTAAGCGTGGTCGTGTTCCAGCATGCTGCAGCTTAGTCCATATGCAGAAGTCTTGACAATGAAAATGTTTGTGTAAAACATCATAATCATAAATATTCTGAATGTAAGACCAGACTTGGATGCAGATTTCATTTTCCCTTTAGATTCTTTCCACTTTGAAATGCTTTGGAAGTTTTCACCCTCATCCACTGTCCTTCCAGTCCCTGCCTCTAACATACACAGACGACTTTCCTAGGATTTGCCTCTAATGAAAACAGAGCATATTTTCTGTGGTGTGCCAGATGGTGCTTGTGAAGACTGGACATGCAGGAGGTTCCTAATTAAAGCTTTAAACTTGGGGATGAGAAGTGGCAGGCACGGTCTGGTTGATGCCCAGATAGTGGACACAGAGGCAGGCTGCCTAACAACCTTTTCAAGCGCACCCTCACACCGATCCTTGGGGAACTCATAATGACAAGAGGCAGTTAATTTAAAGCTAATTGAGAAATCTCTTTCCAGTCTTCACACAATAAAACAAGGTGTCAGACCTCAGCTGGCATTTGCACCCCGACAGGAGGGAAACGGCCAGAATCAGGCTGCAAAAGCTGCCACCTCATTCTCACTTCAGACAAAGAAAGCGTCCTAACCCTCCGGCCGTTCATGGCTGCAGCAGCACCTCAGCCCATAAATAAGAACTGCCAAGGGGAAGTGCCTGCAGCTAGGAATAGAGATGAATCTTACAGCCAAATAAAGGCTGCTACTTTAACAAGAATAAGAACCTCGCAGGGCTGAGGGGGCATGTAAGCGTGGCTCTCTGAACAGTTGCCCACTGGCACAGGCTGGTGCCAATTTCCTAAAACAGAGCCTGCCCCCATGTATGTGAAAGGAGCCCCTGAGGCCAGTATCCAGAGAAACTGGTTTACTAGGGCACTATAATTCCCTCATCCTCGAAGAAGTGTTGGGTTTTATCCTGGGCCTGCTGCACTCTGACACCTTCCCTAGCTTTTATACGGCAGATAGCGTTACATCAAGGACTATGGCTCCTACTGCAAGAAAGTAAATATTTAGCATTTCAAAGCAACAGAGGAAGAGGGATAGGCATACTAGCTGACAGCACACAAATAGCATTATGTCCTGGAAAGTAAATGTCAACCATTCCACTGTAAAGCCAGTCCCTGCACTGGGTGGTGCCACAAGCAGTCGGAGGGGAGAAGATCCCAGCAGAAGGTGCAGTATCTGCAGAGCCATGAGTACTCAGCTGAGCTGTTTTGGCTACCCAGGCACCGCTCGCAACTGCTGCTTTGCCTCATTGCAGAGCAGGT